GCATCAAACTAGTTACAAAGAAAGAGTTAACCAATCTTATTTGGCTACTTGTAAAGAAAATGTCATGTCATGGAAAGACTAAGCCCAAAATCAGCAAGAGCTTAGTGGGTATTGAAGGGGAAAAGACAGAATGATGATGTATGATTATTTCATCATTAAATTATGGCTAATTTATTTCAACAGAAATGTAGGAGGGCTAATTCATTCAACTTGAAAGTATGAGGAGACATTTATTTTAAGAATAAGGGTTCATTTCAATAGTCACTGGAAGTGGAGAAGTGAATATACCCTTTTTGCCTTCTTTTTTTATTCCCATTTATTCCAAATTATCTAGGCATATGAGCTGTCTTTGCCTTCTGTTATTTTCTGCTAGGTTGATATCTTCTACCGTATGGAAGAGATGGTGGTGTAATTCATCAATTTTTTGAAATGTGTTTTACTTTAAAGTGTTTTACTTTACAGGAAAGCATTTGCTGACAATCTACAAGATCAGAGTTCAGGAGAAAGAGAAAGAGAACTGGATTTAAACAGCTCTGAAAGGGGTGAAAGACAGTGTGATTTAGAATCTCATACTGATGGTGATGGATATAGATGCCAGATAAACAGTGGTATAGTGGAAGCTGCAGAAACTGGTGCTAGTATTGAATCAACAACACAGAATGTTAACCACAGGCATTGTACCAATGGTTTTTCAGATGTTATTAGCAGTCCCCACAATATGGATGTTGATGACTCTGCTGGAGTTCATTGGGAATGCAAAGCTACAATTGAAGATATTAACCGTAGGGTTGAACTTAATCCTCAACAAATTGTGAACCCTTGCAAAGAGAGTGATTTAAGTGGTGCAAATGAGGGTGCAAAGGTTGGTTTATTGTCCTTCTCTTTATCGCTATAGTTCTTTAACTCTTTTATTTCATTGTTTGGCTTAGTCTTGCATAAGATGGTGCAATTTTATGAGATCCCCTCTTGGGGTAGACATGCAGACACTTGTTAGCAAAGCTTACCTAGCAGTTTAAGGCTTTAAGCTATTATAGCAAGTGACCATTTAACATTATATTAGGATTGACTTATAGCAAAGCTATTAGCCTATCATAACCACTGACCACTTGACTTAAAAGTCTCAGGGTTTGGATCTGTACAATCTTTATATGTTAATATTGAAGTTAAGCACTTTTATAAGTAAGGTCATATGCTTCAAGTGCTTGCAAAGGCTAACAGGCTTGTGGGTTAACCCAGTCCTTGCAAGTAAGGATGTATATTAGATCTATATAATGCTTAGGCCTTGCATATTAGGCTAGCTTAACCTTTTATGACAAGTGGCAATACAGCTTAAAACAATAAATAGTATTATGGGTAAATTAAAACTTAACAGGGAGAAAAAATATCCAAGGTTTGGTTGGTTTAAGTACATTGAAACCCAATTTCTAAATATTGTGCTTGTCATTGGACAAGGCAATATGCCCAAGCGATGATGTAGTTCGTTAGGGGGTATTTTACTGTAAAGAGTAACACCTTGTGGAGACAAGTGCGTTTTTTGAACTGAGAAAGTGTATTTCACAAAAAACCTCATAGTGGTTTTGGTAATTCACCTGAACACCAATAATAGTAAATCCTATTGAAGCTATGAACTAGCCAAAATTGTATGCTAAAATATGAAGGCACTCACCTAACAGAATCATGGTTATAACATTGAATTTTTTACTGGATTGAGGTAATTTTTCCCACCTCTCTCAAAAAGAAGTATACAATGCACATCTGACATGCAGATATTCAATTTTTATTTGGATTAAGGAAACTTAAGGTCATACCTGCATCTTTTTAAAGTGTTTAATTTGTGTCCAAGTTGATTTGATGTGAGGGGATTGAATAACATAAAAATAGACACATCTCCCCCCTGTAATGTTGTTGATTATATATGATTGAAATGGAGCTAAATGACTATGCTTTTTAGTGTTCCTTTTATCATTCTGTTATTTAATGACATATTTATCTATGAGCCTGTTGCTGGATGCAGGCTGTTGTGGTGGAATTGACTACTCCATCCACACCTGGTTGCAAAGGCGAAGATGGTACCAATGGAGAAGTGGCTCCTGGCAATGTGTTTTCCATTCAACATCTATGCCTGTTGGTACTGATTCTCGAAGTGTTAACCGATCCGATTCTAAGGATTCCAATTCTGCCAAAATACAGAAGACCATAGCCTCAAAGGAAAACATCTTGTCAAAAACTGCTTTGAGAGTTCTACATTGTAAAAGAGATGAACTGGTTAGATTTTTTTTTTCTTTTACTTTGTTGAAACAATTCCCAAGATGCATCCCTCCTTTGACTTGGCAAACACAAAGATAACTAGATTCATAATTAATATGGAGTTGATTACAATTTCAGGTTTATGTTGATGAGATTGATATAATGATTGTGTGAATTTTTGAAGTGAATTTCACTATTTTGAATGAAAACTGTGAACTTTGGATATTCCAGTTGGTTGATTTTACCACACAGATTTTATCAGTTAGTGAATCTTGTTGTTTTGATTATTCTGGCTCTTCTATTTCATAGTCACAGTTGGTTCATTGTGTTCTTTTGCATCTTCCTTTCTTGTGAAGATACTTTTAAATTTTACATAAAGTATGTTGTTCATCCTCAGGTTCTTAATCAACGTCTCATAGAGGATAAGATTGCTCAGTATGATAAAAAGATCCAGACAATTATGAGTGGTATGTTTTCACAATTTTCTTTTCTGTTATTCATCTCCTTAATGATACAACTATCCTATACCCTTTTTCCTTTCTAACATTACTTCATTAGTATTTGGAAATGGCAGACTACCAATTAAAAATCACTAAAATTGGTCTTAGTATGTAATAATTATAATAAAATTGCAAACTTGAGTCTCCTGAACAGTGGCTCTGTTTATAAAGGAATAGAAAAGGAAGAGCATATCGAGTAAAATTGGAGGTTCCAGTTTAGTACATGTTCAGGCTGCAATATGTTCTATCTAGGTAATTTTCTTTGCAGTAAAAGAGCTCACTATATTTGCTTGAACTGTCATATTCTATGCTTTTTGTCAGAAATTTTTTAAGACCCGTAGCCAGCAAGTTAAAGGAACTGAAATTTTATAAAATGCATAGATGCTGTAGTAAAGAGGTTATGCTGGTTAAAAGATGATTGTGCTCAGGTAGATTTCTAAAGTAATTAAATTCTATTCTCATCATCCACATCTTCCCTTATTGAAATCTGGGTTGCTTATTTGATATTGTGAGCTATTACACTGGTTTCAATTGGTAAACCAGTCAATATCATTGAGAAAAGTTATTAAGAATGATGGAAGTATTGCCCTCTCCGGGCATTTGCATCCTGGTCTGTAATTTAATGATTTATAGAAAATAAAAATTAACCATAAAACTTGAGTGTTATGTAAGGCTCTTAATTGCTCTAGAGACCAAATTACAGGTCAATCATCTGAACAGAATTTGGGATAAGGGGTGGTGACTTTTTAGCTTGCTTAGTCTTTATAAATTAGCAGGTTCATTTTAGTGGCTGCAACCAAAGTAACCCATTGTACTCTTCATTGGATTAAATTTCAAATAACTTAAAACACACATATTTCAATTTGTTCTCTGTAGGCGGCGATGATGATCTGGAATTAAAGATAGATTCCATTGTAGAAGGCTGTGATAACATCAAGAGGGGACATTTATCAGAGGAAGTTGCGGAAATGCCAAGTCAATGCTGGGCAAGTTTGACCTTCAAATTTATACTTGTTTTCACCATATGTTTATGGAGTTTTAAAAGTGTACTCCCTACATTGTCCGATGGTTTCTTTCTTCTTAGACTATTGTTGAATTCCAGATTTGAGATTTTAGGCTTTTTAGCTGGGTTGCACATAATAGCTGCATTTTATTGTTTCAACAGGAGTTGGATGATATGTGCTATAAGAACAATTGGAGACTGCCAACTTATCGTGTATCAGCATTGGATGGTAACATCTTCTAAATTCTATCTGTTATATAAATAATGTTATACTACTAGATCCATGTCGTATAACTGCTCATATCTTCTGTCTGATGAGGTTGGGCAGAAAGATTCATTTTTGTTTTACATTCGAAATTTTTGCTCGTCATATCTAATTTCTGACAATGACATTGTTCACTTTCTAGTCTAATGGATTTGTAAAACTCCTGTCTGGATCTTTGAGTTGATGGGTGATCATGGTGACTTTCGATGAGATGATGAACATATGAACCATGTTTTACTCTACCTAATGTTTGAGCAATGTTTCCACAACTCTAATGTTTGGAATGGACTGGCATTGATCTCTAAGAGCTAATTAGTCTCTTTTCAATTTTTGAAGGTGGATTTCAGGCTAGCATAACTCTAAAAGAGATGGATTTTCAGTTAACAAGTGAGGGAGATGCGTGTTCGACGACCCAAGAAGCAAGGGAATCTGCTGCAAGACAGATCTTGGCCACGTTGTGCAATGTAACAAGTCTGCCTCACTAGTTATGGAATCCCCATCTAGAGGCACTAAAACCATTTTGACTCATTTTGGTATATATAGGAACGGGGCAAATCTGGCGTTGGCTCACTACTTGACGAAATATCAGTTGACTTGTGAGACACTAGGACTTTTTCTTCAGCTTCGGTTATGGTCACCCGTGATATTGTTAAGGTCACTAATATTCTACTCTTGTTTTGTTAAATTACTTCTTTGCTCACACAATTAAACTGGAAAAACACATGAAAGTGATGAGGGCAAAGTTGAAATAGTGATAGAATGTTGGTGGCTTTAATAATATTCCTGGTGGCTGTGACTGGAGCCTGGTTTGCTTTTTGGTAGGAAACAGAGTCAAGGCCTAAGAAGCGCGATGACATCAATTTTTGCTCCCATGTAAAAATGTAGTTAAAAAATTTAAATCAATATATACATGTTATATGATATATAGTTATAATTTTAGAGTTCCTTTTTAAAATTTTTTTTGAGGTGACCGGAATCTAGAAATTAGGCACGGATCCGGCCGGAGTCAAGCTACTTCGCCGGATTTTAGGAAATATCGTTGGAGTCCTTATTTTCTTATTGTTTTATTTTTCATTTTCCTTTTCTTTTGGAATTAAACATATGATCCTTAAAGTTGTTACATAGGATTTAGATGCTATTTCATGAGTGGGGTCTTTGTTTTCACTAACTATATCTTAACCAGCTTTATTTTCTCATTGTTTTATTTTTCATTTTCCTTTTCTTTTGCATCTATCTTGAAAACAAGGATAATGCATGACCCAAACCATTTCATTCTCTCTTGGAGGTTTGATTTTTGGTCATTAAGGTCTTCATGCATCAAACAACATACACAAAATACCAGACATCTTTGTAGTTTAATATCGATTGGACATAGAGTTTTGTGATTTTATACTTTTATGATTGCTATTTCATGAAAATTATATATTATTATTCTGAATGCTTTTTAATGCTTGATTACCAATAAAATTGATATATAGAGTATAATTGAGATCTAGAGGA